TCAACCGGAGGTTCTGCTCTGGCTTCTTGCACAATCTTTCCCGCCTGATCCATAGGGACCGACGCACGAGGCGTATGCCATTACAATGGGAATGTAGTTCTGCTCATGAACTCCCGTGTACAGGAAAGACTGAGGGCCTGTTGGGAGAATGTCGCATGTTTAGCTTTGAACAGATAATCAGGTCATCACGGACACAGCATAGTCATTCCCACCCTTTGCAATCAGTGCCAGACATGGTCACTCACAACAAAACATAAAAGAAAATTAGTAACCATGGAAATGAAGTGTCTGAGAAAGGCTGTAGGAGTGACCAGAAGAGATCAAATCAGACATGAGGTCATACGAGATCAAGTCGTCACAAAACCAGTTGTAAATTACATACAAAGACAGCAAAGCAAATGGTTTGCCTGCTTGAAGAGAATGCCTTCTGATGCTATGCCATACGAAGCATGTACCAAAAGGACGTAGAACAAGAGGTAAACCAAGAACAAAATGGGAAGACAACAACAGAGAAACTCTACAGCACTACGATGTGTCTGTCTATGGTAAAAGCAGCCAGAAGAGCACGAAGCAGAAACTTATATCTTCCTCGACACCCGAAGCGGCTAAAAGAGGACATTAGCAGAAAGAAGAGGAAGAAGAATAAGTTAATCGATGCTCCTACTTCACCTCAGACGAGTCAGCCCATAGTTGCTCCATTCCTGTGCCAATCAAAACTAGACAGAATGTTCATCACTGTCACGTCTGAACAAACTGACACAGGCTGCATTCTTAGCAAAACCAACAGTATATAGCCGCATTAAATGCATACGGCAGACGTCATGAGTACCCACACCAACAGTCCAGCGCTAGAAATGCAGTTAATCGTTAGGGGAAACAGCAGTTACAACAGATCAGTAACTGGAAAGCAATTAATCTCATAAGGCACAACAAGTTCTGTAGCAACAGGCTACTCGCCATTTTCTGATATCTGCAGTTCACAACAAGAACCATTCGGAAAAAATTCCAAATGTAATCCGCAGTTCACAGTGTCGCACCGTGCATTCATCTCAGTAGCTTGGCGACAAAACTATATCCTTTCCGTCTAAATATGTCACAAATTGAAATGGCTAACTATTGTCAGAAGCAAAAACTTGCCGCCTATCCGCCATATTGACTGGAAGTCAGTGTTTGAGTATGTGAAGTGAAAAGCGAATATTTTGTTCACACAAGTTCCCAGATAAAGAACTGAGGAAGGGAATACAATACAATACAATAACGGCACACGTTATGTAAGTTAGAAGATGGAGATGGCTTGGTCATGTTTGCAGAATGGCTCCTGATACTTCAGCAAGGACATCTGTCCGATGGATGGCAGCTGGAAAAGGAGATATGGACGAGTTAAGAAACCACGAAAAAGTGGTATATAAAGGATTGTAAAATAACATGGAATACCATAGCTGGCAAGGAGCAGACTGGCAACAGTGGAGATCACTTGTGAATGCCTTAAGCAGTTTTCCTGTCCCTGTGTAGGTTTTCTTAGGTCGCCTGGGGGCCGCGTTAGCTCAGACGATAAGAAGCTCGCTTTAAATCCAGCTGCGACTCGTTCCAGCCCACGGTCAGTGTTCGAAACCGGACGGTTTCCGGGGTTCACCCAGCCTCTAGGAAATGGGTACCAGAGTTGACACTCTGGGGTAAATGGAGGAGCGTCGCTGTAGCTACAGAGTTACGTGTGAACGGCGACACTGGTGGACAGTTTCTTATCAGCTGTCCGTACTGGTGGCAGAGCACTTATGGTTTATAACCGTGTGCAATGACGCTGGTTCACATCTCCTGACTTTACCTTCACCTTTTCTTATGTCGCCCACGTCTCGTTTCACCATCTGCGCTGTGGAGTAGACGCTCCCCTGCGGATCGAAAGGTCGTGGGTTCCGGTCCTGGCAGAGCCAGATTTATTTTTTCTCTTTCAAAAATCACCTTGGCTTCCAGGTCGCCTCAGATTTAAATAGGTACCAGGTAAATTCATGGGAAGTAAAAGCGGCCGCTGTGATGCTGACCCCATCACCCACTAAATGTAGATTTGTCTATACAGTATTGGGCCTGTATGCCCAATACATCTGAAGGTGTGGAAAAGGATCGTTAACTATGAACCTTGTCTGTTTATATGTTATATCTCCCTTGAAAACGCCTTGTATGTTTATATGTTATAACTCTCTTGAAAACTCCTTGTCTGTTTTTATGTTTTATCTCCCTTGAAAACTCCTTGTCTGTTTATATGTTACATCTCCCTTGAAAACTCCTTGTCTGTTTATATGTTAAATCTCCCTTGAAAACTCCTTGTCTGTTTATATGTTATATCTCCTTTGAAAACGCCTTGTATGTTTATATGTTATATCTCCCTTGAAAACGCCTTGTCTGTTTTTATGTTTTATCTCCCTTGAAAACTCCTTGTCTGTTTATATGTTATATCTCCCTTGAAAACTCCTTCTTGTCTGTTTATATGTTATATCTCCCTTGAAAACGCCTTGTCTGTTTATATGTTATATCTCCCTTAAAAACTCCTTGTCTGTTTATATGTTATATCTCCCTTGAAAACTCCTTGTCTGTTTATATGTTATATCTCCCTTGAAAACTCCTTGTCTGTTTATATGTTATATCTCCCTTGAAAACTCCTTGTCTGTTTATATGTTATATCTCCTTTGAAAACGCCTTGTATGTTTATATGTTATATCTCCCTCGAAAACGCCTTGTCTGTTTATATGTTATCTCTGCCTTGAAAACGCCTTGTCTGTTTATATGTTAAATCTCCCTCTCTGTTTCCTTATCCCTGATGAAGTAATCTGTGTACTCACCGCTAGCATATATGGCTACATCCTCGCCACCGTGAGTCTCACTTGAGATTGGCACAGCTGCAGGGAACCTGTATTTTTTGTCAGCTGTCGAAGTATTGAGCAAAGTAAAATATTAACGCTGGGCACGCAAATCAAATTTCGTTTATTAACACTGGGCACGCAATTCAAATTTTGTTTATTAACACTGGGCATGCAAATCAAATTTCGTTTAACACTGGGCATGCAAATCAAATTTCATACTTTTACATCGGACAAGTAAATCTTCTTCTTCTTCTTCTTCTTCTTCTTTTTCTTCTTAAAGTTCCTCGGCTGTGAACTCCGGCAGAAACATATGTTGTTCGTCCATTTCTGAGCTTTAGTCTTGTACCAGGATTTGAGTTTTGCGTGCACATCCATTTTACAGATCTGACTTATTTGTATGTGTATGCAGAGTGTTGATTCTTCGCGTCTTAGGCAGATGCAATCTGACTTTGAAGGAACTTTCCCCTAATTAGTCGCACTGTAAAATCTGCTTGTTTTACCCCCACAATAGCGCCACGGAATCCAATGGTAAACATTCAGATCTCATTTTGCATATTAACACCAGACATGACAGTAATATTTACGATATTACCATCAGACATGAAAATAATATTTACAATATTAACGCAAGACATGAAAATAATATTTACAATATTAACGCCAGACATGAAAATAATATTTACGATATTAACACCAGACATGAAAATAATATTAACAATATTAACGCCAGACATGAAAATAATGTTTACGATATTAACACCAGACATGAAAATAGAGTTTACGATATTAACACCAGACATGAATATAATATTTACAATATTAACGCCAGACATGAAAATAATATTTACGATATTAACACCACACATGAAAATAATATTTACGATATTAACACCAGACACGAAAATACCGTTTCCGATATTACCACCAGATATAAAAATATATTTACGATATTACCGCCAGCCACGAAAATACCGTTTACGATTTTACCACCAGACATGAAAATATATTTAGGATATTACCGCCACCCATGAAAATAATATTTACGATATTACCACCAGACATGAAAATATATTTGCGATATTACCGCCAGCCATGAAAATAATATTTACGATATTGCCACCAGACATGAAAATATATTTACGATATTACTGCCAGCCATGAAAATAATATTTACGATATTACTACCAGACATGCAAATAATATTTATGATATTAACACCAGATATTCAAATCGCCGCCATGTTGTAAAGGATCACAACAAAAGTAGTAAGTTGTACCCCACCAAGATATCACACAGAGGGATAAACAACCTGTGACACAAAGTTTTACCACGCGGATAAGGAACACCCGTGGAGATGTCCTGGAAACCCCGTTCAACCTTTAGGTTATATTAGGGCCTCGGGCAACAGCCAGGGTGGGGCTTCATAATAACGAAAAATTGCAACCCACATGGGGACGACTTTTTAGCCATATTTTTTTAAAGGCACAATGCGTTTACATCCTCGGCTGAATTGCAGAAAGGGAGTGAACAATAAATGTAAAGAAATTATAACTTGGTCAACCACTTGCCTTTTTTGTTAATGATCGACAGTGATAGCATAGACTAGACGCCTACAAACGGCACTTACTTGTGTCCACATTGGTCAGATTCTGTCTCTGAGCACGGTAGCCAGGCCCGTTTCCGTACAGAAGTGTAGTGTAAGGTTTCTTATCAGTCCCTTTGCTAAGCTTAGAGCCATCCGTGTTCAGACCTTCAAACGAAACGAGCAATCAATAAATATATCAAAACTGTAAGTAAAGATTCCTTTTTTACACCTTTTAGGTGCATCGGGCATATGAAAAGAGCACCCATATTTTGACAGACCAATCGGCACTGGATGGGTAATATGGTCAGCATTACGCCGGCCGTCTTTACTTCCCCAGCACATCTATCCTGGTACCCATTTTAGGCTGGGTCGACCTGCGACGCCCCATAACACGATAAAAATCCACGCAGCCAGCAGTGAAACTGTGAACACAGAAAAAAAAACAACAAATGATTGTACAATATATATTCGAATGTATGTCACATATTGAGGTTGACACTTATAGCACCCTGGTATATGTCTGGAACTGAAAGGGTTCAACCATAGACGCCGCGTGAATATACTCAACCACATGTCACAGTTGGGTGTACATTTTAAAGAGGGGATAGAAGAAGAAGAGAAGATATAAAAGTAGAGAGAGAGACAGACGAGAAGAAATAATAGTTAAGGGATGTATAAGAGGACAATAGGTCCTCCTGTGTGGAGAGTGCAGTAATAAGTCTACACCCCAAACGATCAGGTAATGGTCAGTGGAGGTCTTATGGAAGAGAGAGTAGATATATAGTAAGTGGTGGTGGTATAAAGACTACAGAGACTAACAATAATAGTACCACTCCTATACTCAACAAACTAACGATGGAATAAAAGAATAACAACTAACAATCATGTTTATTAAGAAACAGCATTACAAAGTCGTCTATCTCATGTTACACAACCGACAGATGTTATATTATGTTATAAACAGAACGTCCTCACACTATAAAACTCAGCAACTGACAGCAGAATCCACTCAACGATAAACTAGCAAATTATCCTTAATTGCTTTACAAATAATAAGCCAAATAACAACTACAATCTAGCCATACTGCTGATTGCAGTCTAGATACCATCTAACTATAGCCAACCTATAGTCAAACACCGACTACCATCTAGCCATACTGCTGATTGCAGTCTAGATACCCTCTAACTATAGCCAACCCGGCACACCATGACAGAAACTGCCATGTCACATAACATGAAGCAATATTTCGTACACTATCTGGCAAGTCACACAACAGAAGTATGGACTTAGCTCCATCGTAGCGACATCATCCGAATGCCCACAGCATCCTTCGTTGGCGGAGATCTCAGTGCAAGTGTCTCTGTCAGGGCTCCCAGTAGTGTATTTACCCCTGATGCTACTTGGTTCTACCTCTCTCCTTTGTGCCTAAGCTCGTGAACCTGTGTCTTCTTAGGTTCATGAACCTTTCTCTTTCCCGCCAAAGATGGTTTTCCAAGCCACTTTGCATAATTGGATGGAAAACCCCCAGGAAATCGTGTGTCGTTGCCCTGCCTCTGTTAATTTACGAGTATATTGGCCTACAACAGTTCAAAAACAAGCTTGGCATGCACCCACGTCTTTGTCAAATCTTGAGTCAATGCCCTCAGGGTTGTTATACTATATAGCGACTTTCTTTATCTAAGGCGTCTCTATACCTCCTTATTCCTCCGTGTTTCTTTCCTTCTATTTCCTTCTTGTAATAAACGTGACTGTAATCAGTACTGTCACACACATACCGTTTAGCAAATCAAAAATGTACCTGTACCCACGACAGAATGTCTAAAAAAATGCCGACACTCACTCCAAAGTGTATAAAAACGTCCTGTTCTTTACCACAAAGTGTCTAAAAACATGCTGGTACTCACCACAAAATATCTTAACATTTGTGGTTACTCACCAAAAAGTGTATACAAGCATGCCTATGTTACCACAACGTATCTAAAAACGTGCCTGTACTCACAACAAAGTGTCTAAAAACGTGCCGGTACTCAGCACGAAGTGTCGGTAAATTTTACGCTCGTCTCCCCATAAGCACACCGCTACACACTAGCTCGCTTCTGATTGGACAACCTACTGACGACATCACCTCTGATAGGTCGGCCTCGAGCGATCCGACTTTCACACAAAGTCACGGGAAAATTCCCCACTCGCGCTCATACCGCGTGCTGTATATTTCACCATGCCAGAACTTTTAACACTTCTAAAACATTTAGATAACAGGTCTAACACACAACTCCCCTAGAGAGTGACAAAACCTTTATCACAGGCCGTCTCTTTCTCGGAAAAAAAAACTTAAATACCAGACTGCGACACCCATAACCTCGACCACGGTGGACTAGTCCAACTAACTTATCAATGGAGTCGACCTACAACCGGTGATGTGTAAATTGGGAGACCAGCGTAAAATTTATCCAAAGTGTCTAAAAACGTGCCGGTACTCACCACAATGTGCCGGTACCCCCCTCCCCCCCCCCCCCCACAAAGTACCTTTTGCAGTATCGCTAAAAATGTAAAAAAAAAGGTGTCGTACTGTGTACCGTTTCGTATAAACAGAAGAAAACATCTGCTTACCAAGAATGGGCGTGCCTCTGTTTGCATACCCCGCGATGCTGAAAACGTGAGAGTGGTCAGCTGTAACCACGATCAAAGTTTCGCTAGCGTCGGTCACTTTGAGGGCCAGCTCAACGGCTTCAGCCATGGCCACCAGTTCCATCAGGGCGTTGTGTGCTCGGTTGGCGTGGTGACCGTGGTCGATTTTGCCACCTGATAATAAATGCATATAGTTATTTTTTTTTTTTCAAAAACAGTCACCATAATTTTTAACTTCCATTTGTGAAATTTCTTAAAATTAAAAATAATAATATTATTAATTGTTATTATTAGTAAACCATTGCACATATTACATAGAACATTAGACACCCCCACCCTAAGTAATAATTTGCTCAGGTCAACGGGTTTACGCCTTGTTCAATGGCATAATAATAACTAATAATATTAAACACCCCTCCAACCTCTCCTTGTTTTCTCTGGTAAATTCTAGAGGTATACATTTAACCTTTTCTTTAGAGTTAACAAGGCAAGGCCAAGTGCCGGATCATCCTGCGTGGGAAACATGTGATGTTTACAATATTACCCGGACTTTTTGCTATTTTCCACATTAGATTCCGCTGCTTGTCGACAGAATTGGCTCTAAACCCTCCTAATGCTGCAACCCCTTCAGGTCCTTGTGTTGTAGGATTCCCCAACCATACAACAATTTTCGTTACTGCTTCATAACTTCAGTCAACATGTGTTTTCCGATGGTCTTTGGCGAACCTTGTGAAAGGGTCGTTCGACCCACAAAAGGGTCGTGACTCACAGATTGAGAACAGCTGGTCTGGAGGATTTGCAACACTGACGCTAGGGAAGATGCAATGGGGCTAGCAACAAACAACTAGAGCACCTTCTACGAGAAGGAAGAATCCTTGGTCGTTCTTCTTGAGAATGTCGATAGCTTTGTGTGTCATTTCCGCCAGGGATGGTTCGTTGGTTTGGTTTCTGTCCAGTTCGTAAGTCATGTGATCTTGGTTAAAGAGTCCTGAAATATAGAAACGATAAAGAGATGATACAGTGACGATAAAGAGATGATAAAGAGATGATAAATTTACTGTTTTCCCTGAAAAAGGACGAGGATGCGGGGGAGGAAGAGGTCAAGAAGAAGGGGAAAGGAGAAGAAGTACTAGTAGTAATAGTAGTAGTAGCAGCAGCAGTAGAAGTAGCTATAGTTGTAGTAGTAGAAGCAGCAGTAGTAGTAGAAGTAGTAGTAGCAGCAGGAGCAGCAGCAGTAGTAGTAGCAGCAGAAGTAGTAGTTCTAGTACTAGCAGCAGCAGCAGAAGTAGTAGTATTAGTAGTAGTAGTAGTAGTAGTAGTAGTAGTAGTAGTAGTAGTAGTAGTAGTAGTAGTAGTAGTAGTAGTAGTAGTAGTAGTAGTAGTAGTAGTAGTAGTAGTAGTAGTATTAGCAGTAGTAATTGTAGTAGGTGGGAAGCGGAAGAGGAAAAGAAAAGGATGACGAATAATAAAAATAATAGGAAGGAGAAGGAGGAGGAGGAGGAGCAGAAGAAAAAGAAGGAGGAGGAGGAGGAGCAGCAGCAGCAGCAACAAAGGACTAAGCTACACCCTCTCAACCCAGACTAAAATTAATACCAGCAAACGCTATTGGATGTTGATGCCGCCGATCTACTAATGGCTTCTTCTTCACTCCGCGCCGACTGACCTTTCAAGTCATGGAGTTATTAGCCCAAAGCCGGGAAACAACCTCTTATTTTATATCACTTCATCTTGAGTTGAATTAAAAACCGACATCATAGCTCTCTATACATTCCCATAAGCGTCTCGAGCCTATCTTCAGCAGCGAGCGCAGAGTTCCCATTCCGATAGTACTAGTAACAGTCTGATTGTATGTCCATGTCTCCTTTCCTCTGAGTGTTGAGCATCGGACAGATTCCCTAGTAACGCCCCAACATCTTTTTTGCACCATTCCCTTCAGCCAGTAACGGTCCACTTGTTTTAACTGATGTATCTGGGTACAGTTTGGGAAAGGCGAGGCAGGGGTCGACACCGCGAAGATGGATACAAGACATTGAAGATGCATTGGCATTGAAAGCAGAGGGGATCGGAAAGCTGGCTAGATAATACTTTCAGGTGTGCCGAGAGAAGAGCGACGTCCTGTAAAGGACTTGCTGATTGATGATGATGATGATCTGGGTATCACTTTCGATAGACGCCTGTCCCTCAGGGACCACATAGAGCCATGTTCTTTTGTCAGTATCCAAGTCTGACACCGGTAACCTAAAGTCGGTACATTGTTTTTATAATGTGTCTTTTTGTCTCTGTTGGGATAGCAGGGTGTTTTAAAACTGGAGAAAGTTGGTAAGTGACACCGTTGGCTTGTTGGATTCTCGTTTCTATCTCTCTGTCTATTTTACCCATGTCTGTAAAGATGCTTCCCAAGTATTTAAATTGTTGCATGTGTTTTAGACTGTGATCTTTGATTTTTATGTCAATGGTTTGTTGCTCTTTGAGGTTTGAACAACGGTCAACATCATGGCACACGGGTAGTACCCATAAGTACTCAATTCTTCTTCTAACTTGAGTCTGAGTCCGAAGAAGCTCAGCACAGTGCACAGGCTCTGTAGCACCGGCGAAGACTCTGAAATACCTTAGGTAGATTTTTAACTTCAAATGTTTGCCCGGGCTGCGCCGTTAGGCTACTCTTTTCGATCTCCAGCTGCCAGGGGATTTTTTTTTACAGGCGCAACAATGCACACGGGCGTCCGATCTCACTACCCATAGACCAGGGGGGGGGAATTACTAAAAGTCCAAGTCCACGTGAAAAAATCCCAGCCGTCACTGAGGATTGAACCTGGAACCTCTAGCACTCGAGGCGGACACCATGCCATGATACCACGCAGCTACAATTTATCAATGAATGATGTTAACAATTAATCAAAGAATAATGTCAGCAATTTATTAAAGAATGATGTT